CAGACTGGAGTGCAATGGCGCGATCTTGGCTCACTGCAACCTCCGCCTCCTGGGTTCAAGCAATTCTCCTGCCTCAGCCTCCCGAGTAGCTGGGACTAAAGGTGTGCACCACCATGCCCAGCTAATTTTTGTATTTTTATTAGAGATGGGTTTCACCTTGTTGACCAGGATGGTCTCGATCACTTGACCTCGTGATCCACCCACCTCGGCCTCCCAAAGTGCTGGGATTACAGGCTTGAGCCACCGTGCCCAGCCTATTATTTTATTTTTTTAAATTATTATTATTATTATATTTAGAGACAGGGTCTCTCTGTCATCCAGGCTGGGGTGCAGTGGTACAATTATAGCTCACTATAGCCTCAAACTCCTGGGCTTAAGTGATTCTTTTACCTCAGCTTCCCAAGTAATTGAGACTGCAGGTACATGCCACGCCTGGCCAATTTATTATTTTTTGTAGAGAAGGAGTCTCACTATGTTTATTGATCTCAAACTCCTGGCCTCAAGCGATCTTCCTGCTTCAGCATTCTTCAAATGCTGGAATTACAGGCATGAGCCGCCACACTTGGCCTATTATTATTTGTTCATGACTGCTCTGGTTGCTGTTTTCCATTGTTTGGGTAGGGCAAAGCCAAAAGACCAGAAAGGAAATTACTAGAGTGATCTAGGCCAGATAACATGGTTTGGAGCAGGGTGCATGGAAATATACAAATTTGTATCTTATTTGTATATGTATATACAAATACTCAATAGATTAAAATGGATAGTCTTATTATATACAATAAATATGTAATATGCAATGGATATATCTATTTTTATAGGAATATTTATTTAAAAATATACAAATCTCAGCAAACTAACACAGGAACAGAAAACCAAACACCACATGTTGAGTGTTCAATTCCCTCTCATAAGTGGGAGTTGAACAGTGAGAACACATGGACACAGAGAGGGGAACATCACACACCAGGGCCTGTCGGGGGAGTGTGAGGAAAGGGGAGGGAGGGCATTAGGACAAATGCAAGCGGGGCTTAAAACCTGGATGATGGATCGATGTGCGCCTCGAACCACCTTGGCACATGTATACCTCTGTAGCAAGCCTTCACGTTCTGCACATGTATCCCAGAACTTAAAATTATATCTATATATCTGTATATATACACACAGACACACACAGACACACACACACACACACATAGATCAATGGACAAAAACAAAGCATTTATAAACAGAACTTAATATATGATAAAAGTGTATACACTAGTGGCCCATAGTTTTTTCTGAAGTTTTATATTACATTTTAATAATTGTTAGAGTAATATTTTCTTATTTCAAAAATTTCAGTGGGCACAGTGGCTCATGCTTGTAATCCCAGCACTTTGGAAGTCCAAGGCGGGCAGATCACAAGGTCAGGAGTTTGAGACCAGCCTGATCAACATGGTGAAACCCTGTCTCTACTAAAAATACAAAAATTAGCCAGGCATAGTGGCACACCTGTAATCCCAACTACCCAGGAGGCTGAAGCAGGAGAATCGCTTGAACCTGGGAGGTGGAGGTTGCAGTGAGCTGAGATTGCACCACTGCACTCCAGCCAGGCAACAGAGCAAGACTCCATCTCAAGAAAAAAAAAAATTTCCTGAGTATTTCCTGATACCTATTTATCAGATAAATTGTTTCTTCTCCTCCTCCTCCTCCCCTTCTTCTTCTTCTTTTCTCCTTCTCCTTCTTCTTTCTTCTTCTTCCTTCTCCTTCTCCTTCTTCTTCCTCCTCCTCCTCATCCTCAACCTCCTCCTCCTACTCCAACCCCAACCCCCTTCTTCTTCTTCTTCAACAAGGTCTTGCTCTGTTGCTTAGGGTGGAGTGCAGTGGTGTGATTATAGCCTACTGCAGCCTCAAATTCCTGGGTTCCAGCAATCCTCCTACCACAGCTTCCCAAGTAGCTGGGACCACAAGCACACACCACCTTACTTGGCTCATTTAAAAAAAAAATTTAGAGATGAGTCTCACTATGTTACCCAGTCCAGTCTCAAACTCCTGGTCCTAAGCAATCCTCCCACCTCAGCTTTGGGAAGTTGAGGGATTTGGGATTACAGGCACCACACTTGGACCAATCAAGGTACATTTTAAAATAATTTTGTCATGTTCCCAAGCAATCCTCCCACCTCAGCTTCCCAAAGCTGAGGGATTTGGGATTACAGGCACCACACTTGGACCAATCAAGGTAAATTTTAAAATAATTTTGTCATGTTCCATCTCAACCCATCCCTCAAATCATATTGGTTCTTTGATCTGAATTTTACTAAATTTGTCAAGTAAGTTGGGGAGATATAGTGTCTTTGCACTGTTAAGAATTCCTGCCTAGGAATGTGTTATATTTTTTCCAATTATTAAGATCTTCTTTTATGTCCTTCAGTCAGGTTTTATGGTTTATTTCTACAGATCTTGACATTTCTTGTTAAGCTTATGCCTAGCATATGCCTTATAGTATTCATTGCTAATGTGAATATGACTTTTCCATCATACTTTCTAAATGGAAATCACTGGTATTGAATGTTGTATTTGGGGATCTCTATAAGTAATACCTCCCTCCGTATTCTGAGTTTGGAACAAACTGGGGCATGGACACAAGAAAGAGACATAGGACAAAAATATTACCTTAATTTTTGATGAAACTGACTGGAAAAAGTAGCTTTTGGTCTGTAGCTAAGTGGGCTTGCTATATTTCTCTCTGAATTGAGTAGATTTATTTCTATAGTGGCAGGTAGTGCAGGACAATAGTATCACTCTGTCCCGGAAACAGATTCACTTACCCCCTTGTGAGAACACATGGAAAATCTCTCTGCAGTCAGCCAAATCCAAATAGAGAACTCTGAAGCATCTATTCTTGTCCAATCACTTTTTCCAAACTCACTAATCTTCCCTTAGAATGGAGAGAGGCCAGGAGTCTTATTCTAATGGAAGTTTCTCTATATGGAAAATAAGACTTCTCCCTTCAGCACCATAAGACAGGATAAGAAAAAAATAAAAGAAGGAAGAAGAAGGCTTCTCCCTTAACATTTAGGAAAACCATTGATTTTGGTGTTTATCTTATAACTGACCCCCTTATCAAAGTCTCTGATTTTTAGTTGATTCTTTTTTATTTTTAATTTTTGGGAAACAAATCATGAGCAAATAATGACAATTTTATCTCTTCTCTTCTAATATTTATATTTCTTATTTAGTTTTCTTATCTTATTGCATTGGCTTTATTCTATAGCCATTATACCAGGCATCCTTTTGACTCCAACTTAAATGGGAATACCTTTAGTGTTTCACCATTACATATGTTTGTTGATGGCTTCTGATAAACTTTGTCATGTTAAAAGTTTAAATTTTCTTTCTATAATAGTTTAATAAGTTTTTAGAAATTTGTCATTCATTTTGAAGTGTGTCAAATACTTTTAAAGCATCCATCCCATTGACAATGTCCTGTAATTTGTTTTCCTTTAACAATGCAATGAATTTACAAATTCCCTAATGTTGAATTTTTCTTGCACTTCTGGAATAAATCTTGCTTGATCATGGTGGGTTTTGAGTTCCTTTAATAGTAAACTGGATTCAAATTGCTAAAATTTTATTTAATAGTTTTGTAACTACCATATACTTAAATGAGTTGATCTATAGCAGAGATTCACATATTGAAGATTAATCAGTGAGCTTTAGAAGGTGGTCCTGGCTTGGATGAGTTTGGGAAATGCCAGGTTAAACAAACCAAACAGGTTTCTTTACTCCTGGACTTCACAGAGACCTCTTAACATACCAACACTTAGCATGATTCTCCAAAAGGTACACTATAAATGACGTGCAGCACCTTCTCAAGTTGTCTGCAGAAGCCCATTTTCAAAAAAAACAAATATGAAATTCTCTGGGGACTCCTGTTCTGGTTTAGTCATCTGCAGTTCTTTTCGGTATTGTCTGTTGGATTTTGGTATCAGGATTATGCTAAACTTGGGAATGAAATAAACATTTTTGTTTATTTTTATTTTTCCTGTGTAACAGTTTAAGTAACATAGGGATTATCTGTCCCCTGATAGGATGACAGGACTTGCTGTCAAGCCACCTGAACCCATGTCATTTGTGAGTAGTGAAGACACTGGGAATGCACCAGTGCATGGCTTCCCCACAGGACGTTTTCCCCCTGACAGTCCATTCTGCTTGGCACCCTTTTCTTTAAGATCAAATAGCTACTATGGAAAAGCCTAGAATGTGTGAAAATGAGACTCAATGCATTAGCAAATCCATGCTGATCACTCCTGCATGGTCCTCAGCTCCTGCTGAATGATCCAGCCTCCTGGCAAGAAACCTTTCAAATCTTGCACGCGCTGGCCTCTGCCTGGGGTGCCTGGCTGGGGTATGTGGGACATGGTTGGTTAAGACAGAGTCTGCCTTTCCTACCAGCTACTCTAGCTGAGGGTCAAGGTCTGGACCCTCCCCCCCCTTCCAGCTCCACTTTATCCTTGGCTTACATCTTTCCCCAAGTACTGCAGATAGGCCTCCAGCTAAAATCCTCACCTTCTAGATGCTCTCCCGAGGCTGGCCCCATACACCTGGCTCTAGGCCTCCAAGGATAAATCATTTAACCAGCGTAAGGGGAAGCCCGAGTATTGCCAGGAAATTGGGGTTAGCTGAGCTGGGGGTGGGTGGGGAGATGATGAGCTTTGGATTCTAGGGTTCAGTGAAGCCTAGAATGGCTGCGTGGGCGGAGAGTCCCTAGAAGGGGCCAATTTCTAGCCTGAGGGCCTGGGGGCTTCCAGGGACTGCAGCTGGGCTGAAGACTCGTCTTGTGTACAGCGAGGCCTACGAGAGCTAAGCGCGCCGAGGGTCCCAGGAAAAGACCAGCCTGAGGGCAGGGACCACCGATGCCCCAGGCTCCAGAGTCCGGGGGCTTCCGGGGGGACTGAGGCTGGACTGGGGTCGCCGGCGGCTCGAGGAGGCCCAGGTGGGCGCGCCGGGGCCCTGCCTGGTGCTGACGGGCTGGGCCGTGGGGGAGACTGGGGAGGCGGGGTGCCGGCCGGGGCGGCGGCGCGGGCTCGGGACGCCAGGGCTCCCGCTCCCTCCTCCCGCCCGAGCCAGCCTCGGGCGCCGGGCGCCTCTCCCGACCCTGAGCCAGCGCCAACGAAGCGCCGGGAGGCCCGGAGCCCGGCCCGCCACCGCCGCGGCCCGCGGAGGGAGCCGCCGCCGCCGTCGTTGTCGTTGCCGCCGCCGCCAGGCCGCGCCCCGCCCCTCCGCCTCCGCCGCCGCCGCCGCCGCCGCCGCTCCCGGTGAGGCTCGCGCTCGAGCTGCGGCGCCGGCTCCCGCCGCCTGGGCCCCGGGCCCGGCCCCTCCCGCGCCGCCCGGGCGATGAGAAGCTGCTTCTGCGTGAGACGGAGCCGGGACCCGCCGCCGCCGCAGCCGCCGCCGCCGCCGCCCCAGCGGGGAACAGTTAAGTGAGGCCGGGGCACCGCGGAGGCTCGGCCGAGCCGGCCGTGTAGCCGGGAGGGAGGGCGGGCGTGGGCCCCGGGCCGAGGGGCGGGCGGACGGGAGGAGCCGGGCCGCGCCGAGGCCTGCGGGCTCGGTGCCCGGCCCGCGGCAGGGACAGGCCCAGGCGGCCTTTGCCGAGCCCTGAGCGCGCCGCGGCTGCGGGTGCCCGGGCTCGGCCTGGCGGCAGGAGGCGGGAGGAGCGGGGGGACCCGAGTGCCAGCAGCGCCCCCAGGGCCCGGGCAGGTGAGGGGCGCCGAAAGCCACCTCTGCGCGGGTGAGAGGGAGGCGGCCCACTGGGGCACAGACTAGGGACAGTCAGTCGTTTGACCCGCCTGGCCTGGGGTCCGGCTCTCTGTGGTCAGGTGGGTCAGACCTTCGTGCACCTGCCCCTGGGGCATCACTGCCTCTGTGACCTGGGCACAACAGAGAGGACACCTGAACCCTCGGGCATCTGTCTGCAAGGTGACATGCCCAGCCTGGGTACCCGAGACCCAGAGTACCCATGCAGGAACATGGTGGGCACTTCGAGCACCCTACAGTGACTCCAGCACCAGCGAGGCGAGAGGGGCAGGGGCCAGGACCAGAGCTGAGGCATGGCAGCAGCAGACATCACATCCTTAGAGGCAGGCACCGGGGAACGGGGCAGACCCAAAAGCATCTTTTGTCCTCTTTGTTACCAAACACACAACTGTTCTAAATCACCAGCGCTTCTCACCATGAAAGATGAGACTCTTCTTTTTCCTGCACCTGAACAGCCTCTTGTGCAAGGCACTGAGGAAGACCACAGGAGGGCAAAAGGCAAATGGGGGTGACCCATTCCCTGCTCCCTGCCCCCACCCAAAACCAGAGCCCACTCCAATTGCTGCCACAAAAGCAGACAGCAGGCCGGCTTCTCTTAGGGGCCTTTGTCTCTCGTGGTTCCTTCTCAGTATAATCTCATTGTACATTTCTCGACAGCTGGCTAGATCTCATCTCGTTTTAACAGGGCTAGAAAATCTTATCAGCGGCACCAGCAAAGCTTAGAAAGTTAAAAGATAAGCTCTGTGAAGCCCGGACTAACTGAAAAACTCAGTGTACTAGGATGTTTAGTTACAGGAGATGGTGCTACCTTTCTTGCTCATTGGAAATCATGTGAGGTACTTGGAGATATTGTACCACGCTTAGCATTTTTAAATAGGGCCTCTGAGAGATGAGGCTTCTGCTTGGGACCCGGGCTCCGGGACCCATGGGAAGCAGTTGATGTGGGGATTACTGGTTCATTTGAACCTAAACTTATCTTCTGTTATCTACATTTTTCACTTTTAGGCTTTGGGTCACTCCTGATTCAGGCTCAAGGCATTTTCCTTGCCCTGTCTCCATCTTGCTAGGGACCTTTCACCACTTCCAACTGGAATGTTGCACCATGGTTCTGTGCAGAGTGTTTAGGATTAGACCTCAGCTGAAGTCTTGGCTTTCCTATTTACTGTGTGCGCTTGGACATATTATTGAACTTTTCTGAGTTTCGGTTTCCTCATCTGTAGAGTGAAACTGATGATAGTATTCATCTCATGGGATTATGGTGAGATGTAAATGAAATATTGCAAGAAAGTCTAGCTCAGTGCCTGCTACATGGCAAGAAGTCAGTAAACAGTAGCGGTTATTATGAGAGGCTTGTTAACAGATGAATGAGAGGAGTAGCTTATTTAGAGTTTGTCTGTTTTTTTTTTGTTGTTTGTTTTGTTTTTGATACAGGGTCTTACTGTCACCCAGCCTGGAGTGCAGTGGCACCATCATGGCTCACTGCAGCCTTGAACTCCTGGGCTCAAGTGATTCTCCCACCTCAGCCTCCCAAGTAATATAGGTGCCTGCCATCATGCTCAGCTATTTTTTTAATTATTATTATATTTGATAGAGATGGGGTCTTGCTATGTTGCCCAGGCTGGTCTTGAATGCCAGAGCTCAAGTAATCCTCCTGACTTTAGACTCCCAAATTGCTGGGATTACAGGTGTGAGCCACCAGGCATAAGCCACCACACCTGGCCTATTATTTAGTCCTTAACAGGACAACCAGGAAGTGATGGTATAGTAGAAAGAACACTGGGCTTGGATTTTTTTAGGAGCTTGACTTTGACTCTCAGCCTATCTTCTGGACCCCAGGTGGCCCTAGGTAAGTCACACAACCTTTCTGAATCCCCATTTCCGTAATGTAAAAGTGTCTTAAGAATAAAGCCTACCCCATAAAGGTAATCAGTCAAGAGGCTGAATGAGCTAATGTATATGATAGCACTTGGCACTGCAGGAGGTGGGGGTCTGCATGAAACTTAAGTGCAATTCAGCATCCAGCAGCAGATCGAGTTTTTTTCCCCAGGTCCAATGTTTATACAATTTGTTTGGGGGAGAGTTTTAAGAAAAAGAACACAAGAATATCCTGTGTTTTTACATGTTACAGAACCATGCCACCATGTGAGCACACTGCTGAATGCCCACTCAGGGCCTTGGAATGGGTGATGGAGATATGTAGTCTCCATCCATTTCATGGAGGATCTGCTTCTGGGGGAATCAGAATCCAAATGGCATAGGCCCCTCTGCCTTAGTTTGCTGGAAGTGCTCCATGCTCAAAGGGAGACACCCTTGCCACACTGCAAAATAATGATGGTGCTGGAGTAGAGCATGGGAAAAGTTGAAGGTGCTATTATGATGATGAAGATAACAAATGACTACATGGCTATATGTGGTTAGGCTGAGATAGCAGAGCTTCCTCTGCAGGTTGGGTTGTGGAGGGGAGGCCTGGGTTTCTTGAATGAGCTGCCTCTCCCCAGGCTGCTCTGGCTCTCACCGAGGACCACCCTAGCCAGCATTTCCCTGGCCACACCCCCCTCCAGGCTCTCCTTGCCCTTCTGCTCGCTGGGCTGCCCCTGGGAATCGTGGCTTCCCTGCGCTAGTTGGAGTGGGTTTGCCAGAGTTAGGTCTTCTGTCTCTAGCTGCCTGGGAGGCAAAGCCACTGCAGAATATGCTTGACATTACCTCCCTTGTTGGGGACATCCTGTGGGCATGCATTTGGTTTACTTGACACGCTTCTGGCAAGATGCAGAGCTTGTCCAGGCAGAAATGTGAGAGCCCTGTGGGCCTGGAGCCCGGGGGTTGCACATAGCAGCTTTGTAGCTCATATTTCCCTTAGGGCTGGAGGGCTATCTTGTTGGACCTGTGGCTAGATTCAACACGAGTTTGTTCTTTCTTTCTTCACACACACACACACACACACACACACACACACACACACTTAAAAATAAATAGCAGAGCAGAATGTTCAAAAGAATATCCTCTGATCCTAATAAATGAGCTCCTAATGCACTAAATATGCCTGTGGTGTTGATGAAAATGCAGGTGCCAGGGCCTTGTACTCAAACTTTATTGAATCAGAATCTCTGGGGAAGGGGACCTGGAATCTGGATGTTTAACAGACACCTGCGGTTATACTTATGCTTACCGAAATGAGAGAACTACAGTTCCAGATGCTTTTTAGAAAATTGTTAAATACACATAACATAAAATGTACCATCCTACTCATTTTTAAGGGCACCGATTGGTGGCATTACACACATTCACACTGTGGTGCAACTAAGCTCTAGAACTTTTCATCTTGCAAAATTGAAACTCTGTGCTCGTTAAACAATTTTCCGTTTCCCCCTTTCCTCGCCCCTGGCAACCACCATTCTGCTTTGTGTTTCTGTGAGTGTGACTACCCTAGCTATTCATAGAAGTGGATCATACGGTATTTGTCTTTTTGTGACTGGCTTATTTAGCTTAGTGTAGTGTGCTCAAGGTTCATCATATTGTACCATGTTTTAGAATTTCCTTCCTTTTGAAGGCTGAATAATATACCATTGAAGATGTGTACCCTATTTTGTTTATTCATCCATAGATTGATGGTTGGGTTGCTTCCGTCTTTAGGTGATTGTGAATGAAGTTGCTCTGAACATGGGTCTACAAATCTCTTTGAGACTCTGATCTAAATTATTTTGGGTGGATACCCAGAAGTGGAATTACTGGATCATATGGTAATTCTATTTATAATTTTTTGAGGAACCACTACACTGTCTTCCATAAAATGGTGGCTGTACCATTTTACATTTCCACCAGCTGTGTGCCAAAGTTTCCAATTGCTTCACATGCTTGTGAACAGTTATTTTGTTTGTATGTTTGTTTTTGGGAGTAGCCATTGTAATTAGTATAAGGTGATACGTGGTTTGGATTTGCATTTCCCTCGTGGCAAGTGATGCTGAACATCTTTTTGTGTGCTGGTTGGCTATTTGTATACTGTCTTTGGAAAGACTTGTTATTTAAATCCTTTGCCCATTTTTAACTTAAGAAATTTGTTTTTGGTTGTTGAGTTGCAGGAGTTCTTTGCAGATTCACATATTAACCCCTCATCAGACATGATTTGCAACTATCTTCTCCCATTCCATAGGTTGCCTTTTCACTCTGTTAATTGCCTTTTGCTGCAAATTCTTGATGCTTTCTACACATTATAACCCTGTAGAAAATATTATTTGCTATTTCATTTTTATAGTGATGGAAAATCAGGCCTAGTTTAGTTTAACTTGCTTAAGGTTATACCTTAAGCTTGGGTCCCTTGGACTCCAAAGATGTCACCCCTTCCATTCCTCTGCTCTGCCTGATGTTCCCCCCACAGAACTAATAGCATACGGAGGCCCCATGGAGGTTGGAAGGAAGGGGCATTGTTTGGAGAATGTTCAGCTGTAGGAGAGGAAGCATGAACGGAAGGCCTGGGAATCTCTTCTGTTAGACCACTGGGGCGCTCCTTCCTGTAGTTTGATGTCATTGCTTAGATCTTAGAAATAGCAAAGAAGTGCAGCCAGGTTTTTTAGTTCAGTTTGATTGTGTTTTGTTTATTTGTTTTCTTAAGCATTTTATAAGCTTGTTTTAGATCCCATCTGCTCCTCGCAGTTCCCCAAGCAGTC